TAACGGGTGAACTTAAAATAATGTACTAACAGAAATGCTGAAACATTTTCTGGTGAGCTGGTTGAAATCTCTAGATAAAAATATTCTGATCAAAAACAGCTTTTCAGAAATACTTGTCCCATGTATGCAGTTTTTAGACACAACATGGTCTTGGTTTTCACTGGACCACTCCACTGCCTCATGCTTTTGCCGTTATTCTGCCACCATCCACCCAGAAATGCTCCTAGTATTATCTAATTTAGAGTAGATCAAATATAGCATTCTGATCAGTTCTTCTTTTTGTCGGCACATCTTCAAACAGTACTCCTTGGAGAAAATAAAACTGCAGGTTCATAGAATATGGAGAAGAGGTGGGGGAAGAGTGTTAAACATGTTCCCATTAACTGTGGGGAAAAGGTTAGTGGTTTCAATTCATTTACCTGGGCCATATTCACAATCCTTTGCGTGGGTTTTTAGTCTCATTCACCACTGAACTTTACTGGTGGGAATCCTGATGAAAAGTAAAGTTGAAAGCCACATGCACAAAATGAAACAGTAGCTATTTATCACATTGGAAATTGCTTTGGAGATGTGAGTTAGCAAAAAATGGGGAAAAAATGAATAATTTAAAATGACAAACCAGTGCAAAATGTGATGGCCTCACAGACATTCTAGAATGTCCACTCGGAAAAAGAGCATAAACTCATCAAACAAATTATCTGTCTTTAATATGCTTCAGCTTTTATGCCAGCCCATTAGATTTACCTTCTCACAGGTAACTGGTCAAAGAATCTACAATGCATGGTAATACCAAATTCTTTGGGAGCTAAAAGATGCTTACTTAGTTCATCTCAACATGTTGTTTTGTATTATTGGGATTTATGGAGAAAGTTTGCTGAGGTCTTCTTGGTATTTTTGTTTCTAGTTTGTGGGCAGTATTAGAAGGGCACAGAAGAACATTTTCTATTGCTATTGTGGAACAGTCCATTAATTAAAGCCCTGGCTCAATAAGGCATCTCTATTCAGGATAATACTTGAGCACGTAAGACTATTCTTATTTAAAATACCACTTAAACCTAACTTTAAACATGTGCTCAAGTGTTTTCCTGAATCAGGGCTAAAGTGGATGAGATGATAATTTTCCTTTATTTGGGGGGGGGGGGGGGGGGGGGGCGGCTGGGGCTTGAAAAGATTCGTGGC